AGAGCCTAGGACTTGCCGATCAGAAGGTTGGCGGTTCGAATCCCCGCAATGGGGTGAGCTCTCGTTGCTCAATCCCTGCTCCTGCCAACCTAGCAGTTCGAAAGCACGTCAAAGTGCAAGTAGATAAATAGGTACCGCTCCGGGGGAAGGTAAACGATGTTCCCATGCGCTGCTCTAGTTCGCCAGAAGTGGCATAGTCATGCTGGCCACATGACCCGGAAGCTGTACGCCGGCTCCCTCGGCCAGTAAAGCAAGATGAGCGCCGCAACCCCAGAGTTGTCTGCAACTGGACTTAACGGTCAGCGGTCCCTTTACCTTTTAGAGATTGGCATGCATATGACTTACGTTAAAATACGCAGTGAGATCAGCCCTCAGCGTGAGTCCCTCCATGCATCGTGCCACAGGATCCAGTCTCCTGAGACACTTTTTTTTTAATCTCTCTCTGTATGTTTTAAAAACAAAACAAAACAGGTTTCTAGTCCCTAATATTGCAAACGGAGGCTTGGAACCTGCGAGCAGGGAACCCTGATGAGATCTGAGAAGCCAGACAGGGTGTGGCCAATGGCCGGTGCAATCCTGGAAGCCAAAGGGTGTGGCAGCCTCAGGCCAGACCAAGGTGGGGTCCTCCTAAACAGGATTTCCAGTATCTACTGGGCGGAGGAGGGAAGTTGAGTGCTGTGACTAACATGGAGCAGGGTGCAAAAAATAACAAATGACTGCCGCTGAAGATAAGGTCTGGACCTACATATACATGGCCTAGATCCATTCGAATCAGTGAAGCAGTTTTGTGCTAAGCAAAATGACGGACTTGTCTATCTTAGCACAACCTCTGCTGACTGGCTGCTCTTCTGCAAGGTCTGTTACATGGGAGGAGGGAATTTGGATTTGGAGGGTAGTGGTCCTTCGCAGCTTAGCTGGGGCTTGGCAGTGCAAGCCCCTCACCCCAGCTCAGCCAGCAAAACTTACGTTGGTGTGTAATTTATGCCTAGATAGGTCCCCCAAAAAAGGGCAGGGCAGGGAGAGTTGCTCCACCCCCTAGGCCATGGGTAGGCAAACTAAGGCATGGGGGCCGGATCTGGCCCAATTGTCTTCTAAATCTGGCCTGCAGACGTTCTGGGAATCAGCGTGTTTTTACATGAGTAGAATGTGTGCTTTTATTTAAAATGCATCTCTGGGTTATTTGTGGGGCATAGGAATTCGTTCATTTCCCCCCCCCCAAAAAAAATAGTCTGGCCCCCCACAAGGGCTGAGGGACAGTGGACCAGGCCCTTGTTGAAAAAGTTTGCTGACCCCTGCCCTTGATCATTTCAATCGCCCCTTTTCCCAGTGTTTCCATCTCTGCAAAATCTTTCCACTATGGATTTGTATAACGCCATTATGACACTGGCGGTTTTGTTTTCAAGTCCCTTTCCTGATAATCCCTAACAAGGAATATACCTTCCACCCCATCCCAAAGCACACCTGCAAATCAGACTGTTGCAGGAAGGGGGATATGAGGCTGAATGTCACTAAAAGAGATGAGTTGCTTACGTGATAAGCATATCCCTGATGACAAAGTGAGAGGCACATTCTCACAAGGCAATCCTCCTCCGCTTGTTAACTTAGAAGTTAAGTTCTCCTCTGTTCAGTCATGGGTCTTATTCTCATGCAACTAGCCTGCCATTTTAGGGCAGTCCTGGTGAAAGGTAAAGGACCCCTGGACGGTTAAGTCCAAGGGGACGGTTGAGTCCAACATCCTGTTCTCACAGACGCCTGTGGGGAAACCGCAAGCAGGATTCACACATAAGAACATTTCTCCCCTCCTGTGGTTTTCAGTAACCGTGCTTTAAAAATGCTGTAAGCATCCTTGAGTGGGACGCGGGTGGCGCTGTGGGTTAAACCACAGAGCCTGGGACTTGCTGATCAGAAGGTCGGTGGTTCAAATCCCCACAACGGGGTGAGCTCCCATTGCTCGGTCCCTGCTCCTTCCAACCTAGCAGTTCGAAAGCACGTCAAAGTGCAAGTAGATAAATAGGTACTGCTCTGGCTGGAAGGTAAATGGCATTTCTGTGCGCTGCTCTGGTTCGCCAGAAGCGGCTTAGTCATGCTGGCCACATGACCCGGAAGCTGTATGCCGGCTCCCTTGGCCAGTAAAGCAAGATGAGCGCCGCAACCCCAGAGTCATCCGCGACTGGACCTAATGGTCAGGGGTCCCTTTACCTTTACCTAAGCCTCCTTGGGGAACATGGGGAACAAGGCAGGATATAAATACATATAATGTTGATGGCGTTTGTCTGTCTCGAGAGACAATGGAGTGTGTCTTCGGGGAATAAAGTCTAACTGCTACATTAGCAGCACCAAAATGACTGCGGCGCAAGCCTGGGCAGTGTGCGTGGAAGATGATCTGCCTCGCTGATGTGGTCCAAAGGAAAGCAGAGCAAAATGTTTGGTCCCAGCTTGGCTGCAGGAATAAGTTGCTGGAAGGAGTTGTACAAGACCCCGTCCAGCCGTCTTAGGGGCTCCATTGTGGATCTGGATATATAGAACGATAATATAATAATATTTCCCAGTAGTGATGTATGGAAGTGAGAGCTGGACCATAAAGAAGGCTGATCGCTGAAGAATTGATGCTTTTGAATTCTGGTGCTGGAAGAGACTCCTGAGAGTCCCATGGACTGCAAGAAGATCAAACCTCTCCGTTCTGAAGGAAATCAGCCCTGAGTGCTCACTGGAAGGACAGATCCTGAAGCTGAGGCTCCAATGCTTTGGCCACCTCATGAGAAGAGAAGACTCCCTGGAGAAGACCCTGATGCTGGGAAAGATGGAGGGCACAAGGAGAAGGGGACGACGGAGGACGAGATGATGGGACAGTGCTCTCGAAGCTACCAGCATGAGTCTGACCAAACTGCGGGAGGCAGTGGAAGACAGGAGTGCCTGGCGTGCTCTGGTCCACGGGGTCACGAAGAGTCGGACACGACTAAACGACTAAACAGCAACAATATAATAATACTATGAGCAGGGGCAACCCTAGATGTGCGTATGGGGCTGGGAGAAGACTCATATTCAGTGAGTATAGTAGGAATAGCAGAACCAGGCTGCCGTATCGAAGAGGCCACAAACTCCTCTTGATTTTGTTACAAACCAAATATTATCACAAAAGCAAGCCCAAAAGCATATTCCGCTGTGTTATTATTGCGCGAGTGCTCGCTTTTCTGCATTCCGCTCCACCCGCCTCCTGATTTAACTCGGGATAATTTCTCAAATTAATTTCGTCTATGACTCGCGCACGCTGTGATTCAAATGCCGCCTAAGAAGGAACCGCCTCCGCATCTCCTTTTGCGCGGAATTTATTTAGTGCACAGAGGCACATGAGCGCAACCTGATTCAGCCGCAGGGCAAAAAGGGGGGGGGAAAGGGGGGGGAGGGATGGGTGTGACCCAGCCATCCTACTCAGATTCAATTTCAATGATGCTTTGATCAGTGCACCGAGCAGAAGTAACCTGTAAATGAAGAAAAGCAGGAAAACTGGGAAACTGGGACAAACTGCATGGGCAATAAGCGAGCAGACAAATGGCAGATGCCTAATGGTTTGTTGCTGTGCCGCAAGCAAGACCAGGTAGCTCAGATCTGCAGGGGAGAAATTCAGGCAAAGGGACAAAGAGGTAAAAGAGGCATGAAATGAATGAGGGACAAAGTTAAAATCAGAGTCTTCTTGTTTCGGCCAGGCCCTGGAAAGACCTCTCCATGAATTCAGATGAACTGCAGTAAATAAATTTAATAAATAATAATAATATAATAGTAATATTGTTGCAGCGGCACAATATCTAATTGGGTATAAATGGGATACTTAAGGGTTTGTATCAGGCGGGACCAGAGCACGCCAGGCACTCCTGTCTTCCACTGCCTCCCGCAGTTTGGTCAAACTCATGCTGGTAGCTTCGAGAACACTGTCCCACCATCTCGTCCTCCGTCGTCCCCTTCTCCTTGTGCCCTCCATCTTTCCCAACATCAGGGTCTTTTCCAGGGAGTCTTCTCTTCTCACGAGGTGGCCAAAGTCTTGGAGCCTCAGCTTCAGGATCTGTCCTTCCAGTGAGCACTCAGGGCTGGTTTCCTTCAGAATGGAGAGGTTTGATCTTCTTGCAGTCCATGGGACTCTCAAGAGTCTCCTCCAGCACCAGAATTCAAAAGCATCAACTCTTCGGCGATCAGCCTTCTTAACTGTATTTCACTATTAATATACTTCTTCTTAACTGTATTTCAGTTCAGCCATTACAGTCATACCTCAGGTTGAATATGCTTCATGCTGAGCGCGTTCGAGTTGCGCTCCGCGGCAACCCGGAAGTAACGGAGCACGTTACATCCGGGTTTCGCCGCTCGTGCATGCACAGATGCTCAAAATGATGTCACGCGCATGCGCAGAAAGCGGCAAAAAGCGACGTGCGTGTGCGCAGACGTGCCGTCGTTGGTTACGTTTGCTTCTGGATGCGAACGGAGCTCCGGAACGGATCCCGTTCGCATCCCGAGGTACCACTGTACTTTGATAAAATGCATATTTTGTTATGTGCAAATGACTTGAGATACCTATTAGGTCCATCAATTACCATATAGCATATATTCAGCACAAAAAAACAGTGACAATTTGTTGTTGACAGAGGACAGCTGGATATATATATAGGGCCACATTACCTTCAGGAGCTTAGGGCCTCATCAAAGCCCTGACTGCACCTAGAAACCTAGCTCCTCAGGCTGCATGGCTCTCCCTGACGGGCTACTTCTCTGCGTGCGGGGAATTCTCCGCGCAGGTGAGCGCTCAGCCGCGAGAGAGAGCCGCCAGCCAATCAGGACCGCGGAAACGAGCCGCCTCCCTCCTCTCTGGAACCGCACCTGCGAATTGCCGCGCGGGACTACGCTTCCCAGGATGCACCGCGCCGGGCGAAGCTCCTTCGGGCCTTCCATTCTCTCTCTTTCTCTTCCTCCGCCCCCTTTTCGGCGGACTACAATTCCCAGCGGCCTTCGGTCCCTCCGCACCGGCCTGGCTGCTCCCAGGACCACGTTTCCCGTCAGGCAGCGGGGCCGCCGGCCGCCGACGGGAGCCGAGAGGGGTCGAAAGAGTGGCGTTGGAGACGCCGCGGTGCATGCCGGTCGCCGTAGTCCTGGAGGGAGTCGGTGGCTGCGCTCCGCCTCGTCCGCGAAGACGGAAGCCTGGAGAGACCCGGAGAGGAGCGGCGGCGGCGGCGGGAGAAGCGCTGCTTTGGCGGAGATGGGGGACTCCAAAGTGAAGGTGGCCGTGCGGGTCCGGCCCATGAACAGGAGGGGTGAGTCATGGGGAGGGGGAGAAGAGGAGACCCCCCTCAAAAAAGCAGAGAGGGAGAGGGGGGAAGGGAGGCACCCCAAAACATGGGGAAAAGGGGGAGGGAGAAGAGGAGAGAGACCCCCCACCCAAGGAAGGAAAAATCCCGGGTGGAAACATTCCGCCCCCCCAGGGAGACCCCTCCTCTAGTGAAAGTAGGGGAAAGGTGAGACCACCTCCAAAAAGGGGAACAGAGGAGACCCCCACCCCAAAAAGGAAGAATTCATTCCCCGGTGGAAACATAGGAAAAGGGGAAACCCCCCCCAAAAAAACCCAGGGGAGATTCCTGTGCCAGTGAAAGTATGGGAAAGGGGAGACCACCTCCAAAAAGGGAAGCAGAGGAGACCCCCACCCCCCAAAAAGGAAGAATTCATTCCCCAGTGGAAACATAGGAAAAGGGGAACCCCCCCAAAAAAACAGGGAAGAAATCTGTGCCAGTGAAAGTAGGGGAAAGGGGAGACCACCTCCAAAAAGGGAAGCAGAGGAGACCCCCACCCCCCAAAAAGGAAGAATTCATTCCCCAGTGGAAACATAGGAAAAGGGGAACCCCCCCAAAAAACAGGGAAGAAATCTGTGCCAGTGAAAGTAGGGGGAAAGGGGAGACCACCTCCAAAAAGGGAAACAGGAGACCCCCCCTAAAAAGGAATCATCCCCCCACCCCCGGTAGAAACATAGGAGAAGGGGAACCTCTTCCCCCCCGAAAGACCCTTCCCCCCAGTGAAAGTTAGGGAAAGGGGAGACCACCTCCAAAAGGGGAAAAGAGACCCCCGTTAAAGGAAGAACCTTAACCCCAATGAAAACATAGGAAAGGGGAGACCCCACCCCCAAAAGAAGGTGGTGAAATCCCCTCAGCTGAGATATAGGGAGATGAGGAAGCACCCCCCCACACACACACAAATGGGGGTGGATGTGGGGAGTCTTGCCCTAAGGGATTAGAGGGGGAGGTGGACCCCCTGCCTTCTGAAAGGTGGTGGTGGGAAGAGAAGGAAAATATCGCGCAGGGGGTTGTTTGAAGGGGTGGGGGGAGAAGGAAAATAGGATCTCCCCTTTGCCTGAAAACAGTACGCGAAGGGTAAAGGGGGATTTGCAAAATCGGCAGAATGGTGTTCCTGGAGGGAGAAGGAAAGACACCCCCCAATCTAAATGAAGTTGGAAGGGCACCCGATACTCATGAGAAGCTGAAGGAGAGAGGGGGCAGACAAAACACCGGAGGGGTAACGGAGTACTAAGAGAAGATCCCCCCACCCCAAATAAAATTGGGCAGGGGGTGACCCTCCCCTTCCTTTCAGAATGAGACAGGGCGGGGAAGAAGAGTGAACTCCATTCAGGAGCTGCGAGAAAGGGGCTGCTTTGATTTGATGGGCAGAGATTGCCCCCCCCCAAAAAAAACATGGGGAGCGGCAGATGAGAAAGTTTTGCCCTGGCTTGGGAGGCAGAGAGGGAATCCACCCCCTGCAAAAATACTGCGTTTGGAGGGACAACTTCTTCATGGGGGGCGGGTAGGTGATGTCTGGGGGGGGGTCAGAAGAGACCCCAAACTCTGAGAAAGTAAAACGGGAAACTGGTGCTGTGGGAGAAGGTTTGTAGGTTCAATCCTCAGACCTCCAGGTGAAAAGATCTCAAGAGACCTGGCTGGGTCATTGGACTGCTGCTGCCAGTCAGAGTGGGGTGAATGGCTTGAGCTGGCAGGGGGCAGCTCCCTATGCATTGGCACTAGGGTGGGCTGGTAAGAGGTAGACCTCCATCCTGTTTGTAGAACGTGGGGTTCACCTGTCACAGGGCAGGGGAGAACAGCCAAGGAACCCAAAGGACCTGTTGATGGCATTTTACCACTGTACTGTTGAGAGTGTATTAACTTATGGTCTGTGTGTGTGGTTTGGGAGCTGCGCAGTCAGGGAAAAAACAATGCTGTCCAGGGTTGTAAAGACTGGAGAGAATAACTGGGTGCACTCTTCCCACCTTGGATCAAATCTATGCTTCCAGGTGCCATAAGAAAGCTGCAGGATAGTGTGCACCCCGGAAACGATCTCTTTCAGCTTCTGCCTTCTGGAAGAAGGTCCAGGGTTATAAAGACTAGGACTAGCCGCCTGAGAAACAGTTTCTAGCCAAATGCGATTTGGGTTTTAAACGCAGTGTAAGGAGTCTGTATGGGAGTATATTGTATTTAAAAATGGTGTCAGAGGTTTTAGGGGGTTAACCAGGCTGGGATAGCAGGCTTGTTGGTTTTTGAATGTCTGATGTAGATTTTTCAATTTCGTTGTTCTGTATGGGACAATGACAATAAAGATTATCGTATCGAATATCGTATCGTATCGTATCTGGTCCAGTCTTCTGCAATGCAGGAATCACAACTGCAGCGTTGAGGCTACCGCTTTCCTTCTCGCATTCTTCTCCCTCCTTGCCCTTTGGGGCGACTTTTCCACATTCCCCAAGTCCATTAGGCGAAAAGACACCCCACCCCCGTGTGGGGGGTGGGACTAGATGACCCTCAGGGTTCCCTTCCAGCTCTGCAGTTCTGCGATTCTGCTTCCTGTGAAACCTTGAAACGATATGCTTCGAACAGCCTGCTGTGCTTTTCCTGCCATTGCAGTCGGCCTCCTCCGTTTCGAACCGAGATCAGTTGCGGTATTAAGCGTGCGGCCAGATGCACATTAGGAAATTGGGTGCTCCCCAAAAACTCCTGAGCTCCTGTGCCTGCAGGCAACTTTCTGTCCCCCCCCCCTTGCCGCTCAACGCTGGTTGGTGTCAACACACCGTGAGGTCACAGGAGGTCCGTGGAGGGAGATTGCGTCAATAATACTATTATAGCTGAGATGTGTCCTGTTCAACGTGAAAAGAGTCACCTTGCCATGCACTCAAGGGAAGGCGAGTTCTCGATGGGCGTTCCCAGAGTTGCTGTAATGTGGAATTTGTAGAGGTGTGCTTTGAAGTACCTGAGGTTCACCTGCATGTTACTTAGCAGGCGTTAGTTGCGGAAGGTCTCCGGTTTGGTATCCCCAGGTAGGACTCAGAGACACCTTGGTCTGCAATAGGTTAGGCGGGGAATTGTTGTTGGCACCCGTCCGCCTCGAGAGACAATAGAGTGCGCCTTCGGGGGCAAACTCAAAGCGCTGCGCCGGCAGCACTGAAGTAACCTCCCTGGTGGGCAGTGTGTCTGGAGGTCCAGGGCTGCTCAGACAACAAGACCCCCCTCTCAGCCTCACTGATGTGGGCCAGAAGAAGCAGAGCGAGATGTTGAGCACTAGTTTGGTTGCAGGAGTTGCAGGTGTACAAGGTGCCATCCAACCGCCTTACGGACTCTACTCCAGATTTGCGTAGCGTTTTCTCCTTCGCCTTCTCTACTCCTGAAGATGCTCTGCAAGGCAGTGGAGATTTAGGACCAGAGTTTTCCTTCTCCTAGGTGGGCTCCCTTCCCAGAGCCCCACCTGCCCCTCACTTCCCTCTATAGCACTCGCAGAAACCACCTTCTTGACCACAAGACCCACTCCTGGCCTCATCCCTTCCATCTGCCCTGTCTTCTCACAAAAGGGAAATCCCCAACGCCCTGAGAGCCAGCGTGGTGTAGTGGTTAGGAGCGGTGGACTTGTAATCTGGGTAACCGGGTTCGCTTCCCCGCTCCTCCACATGCAGCTGCTGGGTGACCTTGGGCTAGTCATACTTCTCTGAAGTCTCTCAGCCCCACTCACCTCACAGAGTGTTTGTTGTGGGGGAGGAAGGGAAAGGAGATTGTGAGCTGCTTTGAGACTCCTTTGGGTAATGGTAAAGCTTGGATATCAAATCCAAACTCCTCCTCCTCCTCCTCCTCCTCTTCTTCTTCAGGTTTGAGACCCATCAGCTGCCTTCATCTGGTTTAGCTGGCCAGTTGAAGGTGGGATGTGGTCCCTGTCACATAGAAGCCACCTTTAGAAGGGTGGAGGCCAAATTTGGACAAACCACCCCAGAAGGAGCAGGACATTACCCCTGCAGAGGTTCACGCCCTCCCATAACACCCCACACAGGGAGTTGTAATGCACCTTTGAAAGCAAAGGGTTTCCCCTCCCCGCCCAACACGTATATACATGCCCCCAAAGCAAGTCTGCTGCTATCTTCATCCCTTCCTGGCAAGTTGGCTCAAAGGCGAGGAAATTCGTATTTCAAAGAGACGAGCTTTGCATGTTAGCAAACACTTGGTGTGGGTTGAGATTGCCTGTTTGTTTTTGCTGTGCTGGAGTGGAAATTCGGGACTTGCACTGGCTATGAACTCTCATGGAATCCTGGCGTTGGAAGGGACCCTCGGGGGGGGGTGTCATCTAGTCCTACCCCCTGCAGTGGAGGGATCTTTTTGCCTGACGGGCGACTCAAACTCACGACCCTGATCATAAAAAGTCTCAAGCTGTAACGACCGAGCCCTGCAAGGGCTCTGCAACTCACCATGCAGAGTTATTGCAAAGTTTGCAACAAGATAAGGCATGGAAAAACACGTTGAAATGCCATGTAATTGGGTAATATCCAGGATCACTTGTACTTTGAGTAGACCCATTGAAATCAACCAAAACCATTAGGTTTGTTCCGAGGGGGGCTAAACGCTGAATGTTGCCCATGGTGGTAATAATTTAGTGGTGGTTTGCTAAAGTTTTTGCAACGGGAATGTTGATGGGTGTGAAACCTTGGAAGCTTTTTCTCCTGAATGTGTGTGTGTGTGTTTTAAACAAAAAATTGCTGTTGTGGATTTGTCATCACCTGAGGGCAAAGGGGCCAGGCAGGCAGGTTTCATCTCTGAGCTTGCAGAACATCTGTTTCCTTATTACTTATTGATACGCTGGCTTTTTAACATTTGTGCTCCTGAGCCGGGGTAGAAGATCCCTCTTCTGAATAGCTTTTGTGCTAAGCTGCCGGCCTTGTAAAGCTTGCAAGTCAAGAAATATCAAATTGGGCTCTGGGGCAAAACAGGTCCGTCCCCTTCCCCTTCCCCGTCCCCCAACCCCA